ACAGTTGTAGAAAATTCTATCACAAAAATAGAGCCCTTTATTGTGGACTCAGATAAAGACATCGAAGGTATGAATATCGAAGATATCGTTGCACTTCACAACTTGGTCTCAATTAAAGTGAGAAATTTATATTTTCTACAAATTTATTTTGATTTAAATGTTTAATTATTTACATTGAACATAGGAAATGAATGCAAATTTAAGATCACAGATATATTCGCTACAAAAAGAAAATTCAAATCTTGTCCAACAAGTGATCAAATTTAAGACATTTTACGATAAGAATAAAACTGATGAAAATGAGACCAAAGATACAGAGAGTGAATCGATGGACACATTAGCAGACGATAAGGGATTTGATAAAGAGTATAAAATATGACATATTTTGTACAATTATTTCAATTCAATGTCTTGTTTAACAGTAATTTACTGAAAGAAGTGGAAAGAATCAAAAAGAAATACAGCATTAAAAGCAAAAAATTAGAGCAAAAAATGGTTTCAATGAGTCAACGGAATAGGGCTCACGTAAGACATAATCACTGAAATTGATAATTACTATTACAGTTGTAGAAAATTCTATCACAAAAATAGAGCCCTTTATTGTGGACTCAGATAAAGACATCGAAGGTATGAATATCGAAGATATCGTTGCACTTCACAACTTGGTCTCAATTAAAGTGAGAAATTGATATTTTCTACAAATTTATATTTTCTACAAATTTATTTTGATTTAAATGTTAAATTATTTACATTGAACATAGGAAATGAATGCAAATTTAAGATCACAGATATATTCGCTACAAAAAGAAAATTCAAATCTTGTCCAACAAGTGATCAAATTGAAAACATTTTACGATAAGAATAAAACTGATGAAAATGAGACCAAAGATACAGAGAGTGAATCGATGGACACATTAGCAGACGATAAGGGATTTGATAAAGAGTATAAAATATGATATATTTTGTACAACTATTTCAATTCAATGTCTTGTTTAACAGTAATTTACTCAAAGAAGTGGAAAGAATCAAAAAGAAATACAGCATTAAAAGCAAAAAATTAGAGCAAAAAATGGTTTCAATGAGTCAACGGAATAGGGCTCACGTAAGACATAATCACTGAAATTGATAATTACTATATTTTAAATGTGATTGATTGCATACCTTTTAGGTGAAAATGCTACAAAACAAGATTTCTCTGTTGGAAAATCAGGGATCTGTCAGAAAATGTATCGAAACTACAATATAAACTACATCTAAACTTACTGTATATTGACTTTAATATCTCAATTGAAAGCATGTAATCCAATTGAAATTGGTTATTCGGTTTGAATGTTTACACTATAAAAGATATTTATTTCTTTGAATATTTAACTTTAATTAAATTTTTCAAAGTATATGTTTTACAAAAATCTTGCCTTCCACTTGATTTTATGCCATGATTAATTTATTAAGTAATTTTTTAATTATAAAACATATTGTGATTCTAAGGAATCATATGATTAAGTATGCTATAAATTTATAAATTATTATATTATATTAAATGATTATATTTTAATTGCATATTATTGCAACTAATATTTTCTCTAATTCTATTATTAAATTTATAAATTTCTGTTTAAATAAAAGAAATTGGAGCGATTAAAATTAACTCAATTTTTATAATTATTGTATTATTGTATAATTAAGGATAATTCTAAAAGATATACACAATAAAACTAATATTTCATAAAGGACATGTCAAATAATTATGTATTTACACTTTTACAATATTATTAAGTTAATTCTTTATTTACAAATTTCAAGTTTATATTTAACATATCAATCAAAATAAATTAACATAATAATTTAAAATGTTATTATTAATAAATTATTATCTCTCAATCGATTGTAAATTTAATAAGAGTTTGTATAACTTTTTCTTTACTAAGTTATTAAATAAAATATTATTTTAAGCTTTAATCAAGATTCAGTTGTTCTAAAATTAAATAAACTAATATTGTGTAAGAAATAATTAATAATAAATAAAAAACAATTTGATTAGACCTAAGCTATGGATGAGCAGTGATGTCGAGTCCAAGTGGTTGTCTATTAGTATAATAATCGCAACTGATTGACCCAATTCATGAAATATGTAACTCGTGTATAAACATCTGGAAATCCTGTTATTCAAGTAAATTATATTTGTTTTTTATATTTTCTATATTGTGTACATTTAATTATTTATTTATACCGTATTCACATTCATATTATTTTTATCTATTAATACAAAAGGTCTTATAAAGTTATAAATACAATTTGATAACTATAGTAATGCACACATTGTTGACAGTTATGATAGAAAAACTAGACATACTGTGCGGATATGTAAAAGTATACTGAAGTTGAATGCAAATTGCAATACAAAACCTTATTTTGACTTCTGTACAAATAAGTGTTCAATTAGAAACATTAATTATTGAAACCTCCAAAGTTTAAATCGATTATAAAGTTAGTATTCAAAGCGAATGAACAAATTATGTGGTCATACCTTCCTTAGCACATCCCGACCCGAAAGAGGTAATACCTGCCAAATGCCATCGCTGTCCTATTTTGCATTGTAACGGGCCACCAGAGTCACCCTGGTCAATCAAGAATAAATCTATTTATTTATTTCAATTGATTGCATACCAGTTTAAAGCATACATGACAGGTGCCCTTTCCTCCTGTATATGATATGACAGTAATTAAGAAATAATTAAATAAAATCTTCAAAATGTTATTATTTATTCAAATGAGTACTGATAATAAACTATGATCATTAAATGTAATAAATTTAATGATAACTATTCCTAAAATATATTTTAATGATTTATAAAGTTTGGCACAATAATCATACCTTTGCCATCACTAGTGCCGGCACACAAATGCCAATTCCTGATTCCTATCTTGAATTTAGGAAAGTATGCCTTTTGACACTCGGAGTTATCAAACACTTGAATTCTCACTTTCTGTAGAATTTCTGCTCCCTTTTTGTCTATTAATTATAAATCAGAAAATATTCACAATTCATTACAAATTAAATAGTATACATTTGAAAACAACATACTGTAGTCAATTTTACCCCAACCTGTGGCCACACATTCCTTATCATAAAACTCTGACTTCACATCTGGTGGCAGACAAAGTGGTTGAACGTATTCTGAGGTCTCAATCGGTNAATTTATGCTAGATTCTACTATTTATAGTATAAATTTGAAAACAACATACTGTAGTCAATTTTACCCCAACCTGTGGCCACACATTCCTTATCATAAAACTCTGACTTCACATCTGGTGGCAGACAAAGTGGTTGAACGTATTCTGAGGTCTCAATCGGTTCTTTGAGTTTCATCAAAGCTATGTCATTGTCATAACCCCTATACCAGGGATAATGAAATACATGTGACACTGAATGAGTGGTCTCATGACTTTCTGGCTCTTTCTGGTGATGTTCGCCAACTAAATCATACGAACATGTATTCAATATTTAAGCAATTATTGCAATCAATGGGCTTTACCTCTGACTTCCCAATGCATGGCTTGTGGTAAAGTAAAGAGTGGACTGTAATTGAATATCAATTGAAAAAAGTTTTTACCTAATTTTTTACATAATTGTTATGATCTTTAAATACAAAATTTGTCAACAGAATTGAATGCCTTTTGACTAAAAACTATTGAAATAAATATTTGATTTATTAGTAGCAACACATGATCTAAAGAATGTAATACAAGTAATTAAAACTAGTTGTGGATTAAGCTCTCTATCTGTCATTCGTTTGACATTTTTCAACATAAGGCACAAGAATTTGTATGTAATTATGTATATACTTAATAATACAATGAGCTGCGGTTATTATCCATTGAGTGTCTATTAATACACCTGAAAATGAAAATTATGAATTTTAAATTTATTATTCTGATTTTAGTAATTAATATTTTTAAATTTATAATTAAAACTTGTTATTAGTTTATCACAGATATGATAACAGTATGAATATATCCTTTTCGAAAAATATCTAGAAATCTCACTCCTATAATGACATACAAAACGAATATTCTGATTGTAATCGAAATTAATAATTTAATGAACTAATAAGGGATCATTAAATAAGTACGTACGCACTGGATGGGGGCGGGGGTCAGCCAAGGCATGCGTACACAATGTTAAAGTCCTATGTACGAGGGGCGTTTCGGGGGGAGGGGGGTCAATTTTTAGACAAATTTTGCGTACGTACTTATTGAATGACCCCTAATCCAAATATGAATACCTCCGCACCAGTGTCCGACTTTACCCGCTTGAGGATGTGTTAATCTGATTGATACCTAGTGTGCAAATATAAGATAATTAATATACAAAATAGACCAGGGTGAATGAGATGTGACCTGCCAGGGCCATTCTCCGGACTGTGAACTATTTCCACCCACTATTCTTTCAGTGAGCGGACTCTTGTTATTAAACTTATTAACGCCACAAACTTATTAAAACAATAAATCAATTATAAACTTATTATTAATTGTTTAATGAACTCTTAAATAACAAACCCGTCTCTGAAGTAATCAATCGCCACAACAAGGATGAGCTCAATATCTCAAAGATCACCAGAATTTGCATAATATTAACAATAAAACAGATTCAGAGCTCAATAGATGCCCCAATCATTTGTTCTCATCATTGGTATAAAATTATTGTTAATAAAATATATCTTATAATTAAAATTTACTTTTATATAAACTTTATATTTGATTAAGGAATGTGAAATAATTATATGCTATACATAGACAGGTAAATAAATTTGTGTAATTATTATTGATATTAAATAGACAATAGCTTACTTACCAATCAATAGTTTATTTTGAGTTTGACGACTTTATATAAATTACATAATAATTACTTAATTTTTGTAATTTTAAAATTCTGAATATACTAATTATAACAAAAGCAAAAAACAAATATGTTTTTATGAATTCAAATGTTAGCGACACTAATGTTAATGATTTTTAAAGTTAATTAAACTTAAGTTATAGACCCATTAATAAAATATTCAAATAGCTGCAAACAAATGTGCAATAAATAATAAAATAAGTAAAATTAAGGCATACTTTAATAATCAATTTATTTTTTGATAATTTTTGGTTAATAATAAAAAATGTTAAAGGCCATGTCAAGGGTTTACCAATTGTCAATATAATTTGGTGAAATTAACAAAATAAAATAAGCTTTTTAAATGGTATGTAAATATCTAAAAATTATTTTTGTAACTTCAATAGTTAAAAAGTTATGGCAAACTTTACCACGGTATATTGGACAAACCACTTTTCGTTAGGAAACCGGACCTGGATAACAATTACCTACCATGCTTAAGCAGTGAAATGAAGTGTATTTTATTAATATATTGGGGTCACACTTGGTGATAATCAATAGTAAGTTATTTAAGTTTAGGTCAATTGGTTTTTAGGTCAATTTGCCAGTTCCCGATTATTCTGACAAACTTTATAAATCATTAAAATATATTTTAGGGATAGTTATCATTAAATTTATTACATTTAATGATCATAGTTTATTATCAGTACTCATTTTTATAAATAATAACATTTTGAAGATTTTATTTAATTATTTGTTAATTACTGTCATATCATATACAGGAGGAAAGGGCACCTGTCGTGTATGCTTTAAACTGGTATGCAATCAATTGATATAAATAAATAGATTTATTCTTGATTGACCAGGGTGACTCTGGTGGCCCGTTACAATGCAAAATAGGACAGCGCTGGCATTTGGCAGGTATTACCTCTTTCGGGTCGGGATGTGCTAAGGAAGGTATGACCACATAATTTGTTAACATTTCATTCATTAGCTTTGAATACTAACTTTATAATCGATTTAAACTTTGGAGGTTTCAATAATGAATGTTTCAAATTGAACACTTATTTGTACAGAAGTCAAAATAAGGTTTTGTATTGCAATTTGCATTCAACTTCAGTATACTTTTACATATCTGCACAGGGTTCTACCCTAAAAGACCTAAAACCGAAAAGACCTAAACTTAAATAACTAGCTGACCAATGGACATATTTTTAATTTGATAAGTGGAATAGACG